GTAAAATAATTTTTTTTTTTTCAAACAAATTTAAGTATTTTTTTTATAAACCAGCTTGACAGAAACATTAGTATTTCACGTTTAATGGCATATCTATGGTCTCAATTTAATTAGCTCAGTTAATTGGCATTCATTTAAGTGAAGCTCTCAAACAAAATTAAAAAAAATAAAGGGTGATCCATTTCGAGACTCCCTACTTTTTTAAAGAAAAAACACAGAAACTTCAAATTTAATAGGGAATGTTTATTACCATTCGAAAGAAAATTATTTGGCATTCCAGTTGGTCCAACCGTAGATTCTGATTTTCGATGACTCCTTCGAGCATTTTGACTGATAACTGGCGAATGACACGCATGGTGTTCTGCTCAAAGCCCTGAATCGAAACGGGATTGTCCGCATAAACTTTAGACTTTACACATCCTCACAGGATAAGTCTACCGGTGTGATATCACGTGATCTTGGTGGCCAATTGAACGATCAAAAACGAGTAATTATCTGATCGCGGAAAGGTTCTCTCGATGAATCCATTGACTGATGCGATGTGTTACTACCCACACATCGACGAAATCACCACCTTCAATTTCAGGTATCACCGGCACTAATTTTGAAGAAATATGGACCGATGATTACACTAATCCACCGTTGTTTTTTCTGCATGAAATGGTAGCTCTTGAATCTCTTCACTTTTCTCTTCTTCCCAAATGCGGTAAATTTGATTGTTTACATCGAGCAAGAAAACTTCAGTCCTTTCACAAGCAGAATTTGGTACACTTTCAATTTAAGATCTCGACGCAAAATGCGCCAAGTCGTTCCATACATCAGCCTATTCTCCAAGATCTTCGTGTACTCTCTCAGCTACGGCTACTATATTTTCTTCACTGCATGCTGGTGGTGATCTATTCGGTCGAATATTGGCCCACAATGAGTGGGCGAGTGATGATGTTGAGAAAAGTATGCACAGTAGGCCGATTATGTTGACCATAAGTTAAGAACGATTTGTAAACGTTGCTCAAGCATAAGACTTTCCATTATGAAATACCCAACAATACTGAACAAAAATAACATGACAGCTTGACACTACTGACGCGTGATCTGTCAAAACAAAGCTATTTTAAAAAGTACCTGTACTTGGATCACCCGTTATTTCTAACTACTTGCATTCAATAAATTTCAATAATTATTTCTAAAATGGAGTATATAAATCCTTGAAAGTACTTAACTTGCTGATTTCATGAGCATAAACCATTTAATCGAGTTCAAATATTTGGGAAAATCCTCTACATATGTAAAAACACTAGTTGAGAAATTTAACACAAAACAGAAATAAAACCATTCACAAGTAATTTTTTTTTTCTGCAAATTTTGTTTACACGTACAATTGAAGATAATATACTCAGAAGTATATTAGTAGTTACCGTCCAGAGCAAATGTCAATTCGCAATTAAAAAAATAAAAATAAAAATTTTTAACCAAAAGTCACATTGTTTGAATTATTTAAATTAGTGTTAACACTTTTCATTATATGAACGTAATGATTCATGAAATTTAAGTCGAGAAATTATTGACAGTAAAAATTTTAATAGCACCTTAAAACTGTTAAAATTTCATAAGTCACAATTAGGCAATCTCAACAAGAATTGTAACACAATTTACCACTAAAAACGCCATTAACCAATTGTCAATTAATACTCAGTTGCCATTACTCGTATAATTCAGAGAAAATATGATTCAACCATTTATTGAAAGACAAAAGAACATGGAAAGAGGTCGCATCACACAAATAAATGAAGTTTAAATTAATTGCCCTATCTATAAGGTAGTTACAATTTACATGTCTGCTAAGAAGATAATTTAGTTAAAAGAGAAAGGAACTTTCTTAAAAGCGCATATTTAAATTTTTTTTAAAGATAAAAAGCTGTTTTTGAATATACAGAGAAAGCAGAGGATCTCAACATCTCGTTTGGTTCAATTCAACCATTTTGGTTATTTTTTCCGTTATTGTTTTAGTTAATATTTTGGGTATGAAGTGTGTCAATGCTAAACTCGTACCAAAATACCTGAATGTGCTGTCTCATTCTAGCACGATTGTGACTGACTTTTTGGTCAAACACGCGTAAGCACAAAAAGGGTTATACCAACTGAGGACAAAAAATCGTATCGATACGCCTTGAGCGCGCAGTAATGTATATCGAGCTGTCCATATCATATTTGATCTTGACTGTATAATAGTTTCATTGTAATTAAACTATTAGTACTCATTTACGTATTACTAAGTAATAATTTTATTAGGGAAAATTGGGACTGTATGCACAACGACGCAATTTACAAGTTAAATTTCTCAGCTAATTGAATGCAATTAGGCACAGGCTGGTCACAATTTTATTATTGTTATTTTTGATTTCTATTATTATTAATATAAAATTTCAATTTTAGGAATATCGAAATATAGCAGATTTAAAATATGAAAACATTTTCTTAAAATTTAGAAAATTGTTTTCATTTGTTTTTTTTTTTTTTAAGATAATTTAATTGCATTAAATGAATTTCCAAATTAACATAAAAATTACTCAATTAAGGGTGTATTCTAGTCTTGTGGCAGGAATTTCGAGCGTTTTTTCGGCAATTGATAAAAGTAAGCATTTTATACATATTTTTACTTTTTTTATTTTTAATTAATTTAAAAAATAAAAACTCTTTACTTGTACTTATGCGTCCTTGAAGTAAAGGGCGCGGCCATATACTCGTTGCGATGATTTCTGCTCTTGTCATCTTCTAAAAAATAAAACAATATGGATTCTTGATTAGCGCATCGCTAATCGCTGCAAAACTGAAAACGAAATTTTCAGAAAATGGCGGCAACTAAAATTATTTTATTTTTTTCGATTTTTCACTAATTTTTTAGCTTTGTCGAATTTTATTCTTATTTTTTTTTTTTTTTTAATATTACAAATTTCAATTTGTTATTTTTTGTTGTTTCATGTGATAGCGAGATTTATCAATAAATTATAATTAATTACGAAATTGAAATAAAATTTTTTTAATTAAAATTACTTATTATTTTTAATGTGTGAGAGTTATACATAAATTATGTATAAAATTTATTGGTGATTTCACACCCCAGTATCTTGATCTCATATTTCTTTACGCCAGTTTTCTACACGAATTTAATTATTTGTTGCTTTTATGCCAAGCCATTTCCACAAATTCAATTTCTTACAAACTAACACAATATGTGCATATATACATACATATTATACATATGTACTAATTAACATTCAATTACTCAGAATTAGGAATAATGAGAGCAAACATTTAGAAACATATCACAAGGACAATACTTAATCATAAATCAAGTTTATAATGAAAAGAAAACAAAAAAAAATATAAATATATATATATATAAATAATTATAGTATAAATTAAAAACAAAAACGAATATTAAGCAAACATACACACTTATTTACATTTGTTTACTAATTAAGCAGAAAATTACTCATACATTCATAATTTATGCAGAAGAAGCTTAGAAATTGTATTTCAATTAATAGAAACGTAGTTGAGCGCAAACAAAAATGCTTTTAATGAAATTCCCAAGTATATATTTATTGATATTTTGAACAATAGTGGAACTTGGTTCACATGTAACATACACACAAACGCGTATACAAATACAAGTCAATGCAATTATTTTCTATGCAAGTTTCAACAAAATGAAACTGCAAGCAATTCGTTCGATTCAAAACAATGAACAAAAATATATATGCAAATTAATTATAAAAAATGTATTGTAATAATTTTGAAAAAAAAAATTAAAGAAATATTTTAAATACAAGCGAATGAAACAAAATTATAAAAAAAAATATACAAAAAGCGAGCATTGGAAATTTGAGCAATAAGAGAAAATTTGCAAAGCATTAGCGAAAGCAGTAACATTTATAAAAAAAAACTCTTTATGAGCAGGCAATTTATTAGTAGTAGCAAAGAAATGCTAAAATAAAAAAAAAGAAATAAAAGAAAATAATAAAACTAAATAAATAAATAATAG